TCAAGCACCCCCACACACCACACCACACCACACCACACCTCTGGACTTTCCGCCCCAAATCAGGGCCTGTTCAAAACAGCATTTCCTGCAAAGGGGGTCTCCGCCCTGGAAAGGACCATCGACGACGAGGTCAAGCAGAAGCGCGAGTGGGGAGGAGGAAACAAAAAAAAAAAATTGCGGAAGACATGTGCGAGGGGTCAAACAAAAAGTTTTTCGGATAGAAATTTAAATGGCATATGATTGCTTGAGCAGAAGAACATATATCTTGTTCACGTATAAAGAACATTCTTTGGCACAGATAAACCAGCTTGATTTTCTGCTTTTCAGCATATTCAAGGTTCAAACAATATGTTCGCCACAACATCCAAACACTCGTCCCAACCCAAATCCATTCCATCACATCAGGATATAAAAATGAAAATTAAGATACAGTATATGTTGGTAATTAGAGAAAAAGAGAAAATACAACCCAGAAAAGGAACAAATGATGCAAGTTTTTACACTTCCCTCCTTCCCTCCTCCTGGGAAACAAAAGGAGAATATCAATATCAAGAATAACTGCACAAGGCAATTACTGAACAAAAATTAGAGTAAAAGGACTTCAGCCTGCTCCCAGAAAAGTTTTAGTTGATTAAACAAATTGGAGGAATCTTTGAGGAGAAATTGTGTGAGGCTAACAGTTTATCTTTTTCCTCAGAAATGTGGGGGAGAAGCTTCTAATCAAATTTTCATCAACATCAGCAAATTTTTTAGCACAAGAAAAAGATTCAGTCCTGTTTAATGTCTTTCTTGAAATTTTTTTTATAAATGTCAGTCTATTCTAGCAGCTTTCTGCTCTTTATTCAAGAAAGATGAGGCGCACATCTTGCGGATTTTTCTGTCGCCCAGGTTCTCTTTCATAATTCTTGAAGTTGACGTGTCATTAATTCCAAGGGTTGTTCTCCATGTCCACAAAGGTATCTCATTAGTAATCAAGTAAAGGCGGCAATCCTTGGACTCAATGCCATGGTTATTTCAGGAATTCTGCAGGAAAACCTATAGGTTACCCAACATCAAAAAATCTGCGAGATATGGGGGCCTCATCTTTCGGGTGAAGAGCAGTAACCTGACAGGATGATTTTTGCAACAACACAACAAAAAATCATGTCAAGCAAGGCTGGATATATCTTCTTCGCGAAAGAAGGTTTTTTCTTCCTAAACAATAATGGTTCTTGGGCTAAATCGTCTGCCTCTTCAATTTCCTACTCCAGGAACATTTGTTAAACCCCCCCCCCCCCCCCTGGTAGAATTTAATGGATTGCCGCCAAGAGGACCTGGGTATAATCCGTGTTCCGAGAAAGACCAAGAAGAAGAAAAAAATATAAAAAAATAAATAGAGGAAGCGATCAATAAATACTATGGATTCAAACAACTCATTGATCTGATGTTCGCAGGACGAGAACCGGTACCACGAGGACATTTTCGGGATCACGCTGAGAACAGAGGAGGTCCACAGCCGCCAGCTCATCCTGGACCGGAGCAAGAAGAGCATGGAGTTGACGAGGGTGGAGTCGGTGACCAACGCCTGAGATGATGATGATGACGATACATGATATATGACGACGAGACCCCCTTCCGTGTGGGGCGCTGGGGGTTGCAATATAGCCACCCCGTCACCCACATGATGTCCTTCGAGGACATCAGGAGCTGACATATTTTCTTACGCAAATATATGGATATAGTCACTGCATGCATTCTATCGTCGGTGGAGGAATCTTGCCAAATAAGTACTGTACTGTGGAGCCTCGAGATGCGGATGTGTAATCGGTGCTTGGATTGTTCCTATGTACTGTATGTCAGATCATCCAGCAAATGTTGGATCACGTTTTTCCCATAGACGAATATGTGTAAGGGAAAATATTCAATTGGTTCTCCCGCTTGTCAAAAATTAGGAATAAAGCCCCCAAATTGTTGAATGAAATTGTTTTTCTCAACTTCAAGGTACACAAAATAAGTGCAGAGAATATGATTTTGCATAATGTGATGATTTGGCATCAGATGGATTTCAAGAAGCAAAGACAAAGAAGAAGTCTAGCTACACTGCTTGCACACACAATGGAAAAAAAATTGAACAAAGAAGCACAAAATTAGCCTATTTTTTGATTATGAATGAGAGCAGTGTTCCCCAAAATTTTTTTTTACTCATGGACCTGGTGATTCCCCAAAAAAAATGTTTGCAGAGGGATAAATTTCCAAAACATTTTCTGCAGACTGGCACAGTTTCATAAAGTGTTTGTGAACTCAAGAAGGTTTTGCCTGAGAATTGTCTTCATGGTGGGTATTTAAAAAGTTTGTGCTTTATGCAAAAATTAAGTTGAGAGCCAATAAAGGAACTATAGTCTAATGTCTTCCAAAACTTGGAAATAGGTGAGCTTGAAGAAAGGTACCCCAGAAAGAAATATTTAAATGCTTCATTCCAGCAGGTGAAAAGTTGACTGAAAAATCATTAGGATGAATGACAACTTTCATTTTTCATCAGAAAATTTCAAATGTCATTGCATTTCCCAAAATTGAGATAAAGATGGCAGACTTAATTGCTGCTTTTGATTGATGTATTGTGCTGAAGAAAATTTCCTGTAAAGTGGAAAAAAAAACTTCTGCATTAATCAGATCACTGATGGTCCACAGACCATTGGCTGGGAATAATAAATTAGAGTAAGCACATAATGATTTTTTTTTTACTGTATGTGAATATAAATAGCTCAATTTTTTCAAACGAGATCAAAACTTTGGTAACAAAATTTTTTAATGTTTCTAGAAATGTTGGAGAAGGGTCTGTATCTTATTGAGACATTGTCTGGATGTTTTGGGCGGGCCAATTTTTTGGTTAGTGTCACTGTCCAGTGTCCCTATTGGTGGAATCGTCCGTATGTCGAGGTCCCACTGTATAATCCACATGCATCATCCGAGTACTGTGTAGGAACGGATTCGGAAATACAGTCGCTTCCTCTCGAATATACGAGTCACTGCTGGTTTTTTTTATTTCGGTTTCCCCCGGCGGTACAACATCATCACAGACAATACTAAATGTTTCCTCTACGAAGATTTCCGTTCGGTTTCCTTGAGCAGCGCGAGCACGTGTTTTAAAACCATTCCATGAAGATGCCCCAGTAGATGAGGTTGAGGACGCCGAAGGACGCCGGGAAGAAGACGCTGGAGAACCGGTCTATGAAGATGGCCCGGTCCCTGCACTTTTGCACCTCCAGCTGCCGGGCCTGGTGGAGCTGGCCGTTGGCGAAGTACTGCTGGGCCTTGTTGACCAGGGCCCCCTCGGGGATGTCCTCCAAGGGAAAGTCCGTCCCGGGCTGCGGGCAAGCATGCGAATGACACAGACCGTCGAAAAGGACCGTCATGTACAGTATTGTGTTGTATTGGGTATCGCGAAGAACGTCGTCTGCATGCCATGCTGCAGGCTTATATTTCGATTGGATTCTTCTGGGTTGTTGCGGTGTTCTGTCATGCATTCAAAGTGCCGAACTGCACTGCACTGTACTATATAATATGGTCCTCATCCGCGAGAGAAAACTAACATTCTGTCCCATATGCAGCAGTTAGGATATGGCGAGTTTATCTTCTTTTAAACGTGATTTTATACTCTCTTCACATTTCTCGTGTCCTTCTGTAGCAGGCTCCATAACATTCACAGTACAGTACCGTACATGAAGTAACAGAGATAATCTGAACTGATGTATTCCTGTATGCGTTTGTTTTTCTTTAAATGAGATTTTTTGAAACGCCAAGTCTGATTTCTCTTGGAGAATTTGATGAACATGATGGTTAAAAGTTGATTACTGAAAATAAAAACTCGTTATATTTCACTTATTCCTTGTTAAAATTCAGGTAATTTGCATTGTTTTTTTTTGCATGTGAAAATGCAATTTAGAGTTCATTTTCATAGGTACAGTCATCATATGCCAATATGTACTCAAAACAAATTTTCTGACATTTGATTAAGAAGACTAAGAGCAGCTGTTACGCAGAAAGATACTGTATACAGTGAGACCCCCAGATGCAGACATAATTGGTGCATCAAGAGTGTCCCTAAGTTGAGTCTTGTTTACCCACGGACTTACATTATGTAAATTTTAATTGGTGTTTTATTGAAGAAATATTCTTCAGAATTCCCAGAAAGAAATTGTTTGCTGCTTGAATTTGATTCAGTGAATTTTCTCAACCAAATAAGAACATTGGAGCATTGAATAGTATACTGCTGTACAGTTCATTGAAATGTTGGCATCTCTCAATATAACATCCAAGTCACAAAGAGAGAAGGAAGTCCCTCTATGCTATAGGTAATTTTTTAAAATTAGCTGAATGGATGAGAAAGTGATGGGAAAAGTATCAGAGAATGTTTCTTGCATAGATCTCAGGGTTGCAAATATCTGTTTCTTGCAATCAAGCCTAATAAAAGTCAATTTTCCTGAAATGAATTGTCAATTTTATAATACAATGTCTTCATATCAAGTTAGTCTCCATATGTTGGGCCTTTTTAAGGATTTTTTCATTGAAAAATAAATGTCCCCATGTCAAATTGTCCCCATGTTGAGGTGCCTGCATGTGAGGGTCTCACTGTACTTGCAAATGCATAAGCAAAAAGAAATTGTGCCTCTGGGACAACTTGGGAAATTTAATCCTTGAGTAGTTGAGTGTCCTGCATTGCAATGATGACACTATTTAATATGGGGCATTTTTCTTTTACTGTATATGCGAGTCCTTTTTTCAGATGATTTTTTCCTGTCCAACAAATTTGGCGATCGGAAAATGTTGTCCTGCAGTTCGGTGTTATCACGAGGACTATCGATTCGTTGAATATCAAGGAAATTTTCGACTTTAGAGCCAACCCTTGCATGATGTATACACAATATGCAGTACACGTGTAAACGCTGGTGATTTCTGCGCGCATTAGCATTTTAAGAGAAGTGGTGGTTGCTCTTCATGTCACACTTGCACACAAATGCGTGTCAACCTGATGATGGGTGTTGCGGACAAGACAGGACAGGACAGGACAGGACAGGACAGGACGGGACAGGAGGACAGGACAGCAGGAGGGATGATGGACTCACCGACGCATTGTTCCTCGGCCTCCTGTTGTTGGTCTTCCTGGAAAGCTGCCTCATGCCTTTCCTCAGGTAAGATTCATCCGAGTCCACCAGGTCTCCGAGAACCACATTGACAACGGCATACTCCATGAGGGAGAAGAAGACGAACACGGTGCAGCTGGACATGAAGAAGTCTATCCCCTATACGCGTAAATGTACATGCAGAAAAACGCCGATACAGTACAACGAATTTCCTTATGATGCATTTTTCCTTGGTCGCATCCAAGCACTTTCTTTAGCAAAATTGACATAAAAATTTTATCACAACAAATTCAATTTCCTCTATTTATTGTCTGAGTCTGAGAAATGTTTTTGTGATTCTGCCTGCATATGGGCCACATACACACATTTTTCAAAAATTAGCTCTATATATGGGGAAACCCAGCTTGTGCATAATTGGAAAAGCCTTAAAATGTTAACTGCTAATTGCCTTGTACAGTACAGAAAACTGAGCTTTGCAGGAAGTATGAAAACCTAATATTGTAAGAATTTTCCTTGCTTTATTTTAAAATTCAGAAATGGCTGAATGTTTTAAAGAACATTTTTTAAAGGATACTATTCTATGCCCAGCAAAAATTTCAGATTGCCGCCTGAGATGGCGGCTATTTTTACGCGTATCCTGGCCGTTTCAGGTGGTGGCCAAACGGTTTTGGCTAAACAGTAGGGATCTGTTTTCCTGACGCGGTCAGGATGGCGTAAAAAACGTTTTTAGTTGACGCTTTTGAAAGCGTCAGAGTCTGACGCTTTCAAAAGCGTTTCTTACGCTGTTAAAAACGTTTTTCTGTGACGCTCTTGAAAGCGTCAGCTTCTGACGCTTTCAAAAGCGTTTCTTACCCTGTTGAAAATGTTTTTGTGTGACGCTTTTGAAAGCATCACATTATTTTGACTCTTTCAAAAGCGTTTTTTACACTGTTAAAAACGTTTTTGTTTGATGCTTTTGAAAGAGTAAAAATTACTTATTGTGACTCTTTTAGAAGCATATTTTATCCCTGTAAAAAACGTTTTTCTGTGATGCTTTTAAAAGCATTATTGTAATT